TGTACTCTGGATGGAAAATCTCATTTTGTATGCTGTAATGATGTACAGTGAATGAATGTAAATAAATAAATTTAAATAAAAAATCAGTCCAAAAATAAAAAGAGAGAGACTACTACTCAGTCATAAAAAACAAGAAGACCCTGGCATTCAATAGAAAGTGGATCACTATGGAAGATTTGCTGCTGAGTGAAGTAAGCAAGGTTATGAAAGACATTATACTTAACATATACCAACTGTCTGCACTCTATGGTGGAAATTGAGAGTCTGGAGGACATAGATGCCATTGAAAATGGTTATAGATTCTAGAGAAAATATGAGAGGAGTGTGGGGGAAGGGAAAGAAGAGTATTGAGAAAGAAATTAAGGAAGAAACTAGAGAAGGGCAGGATATTTATGGATCAAGGAAGTAAGTTCTTATCTGTTGACAATAATGTGTTTTATATCCTCAACTAGACTAATAGTGATTAAATGTATAAAATAAAAAATAATAATAATTTAAAAAATAGGAAGGTGAAACATAAAAAATAAATTCAGATTAAAAAAGAGAACTGAGGTAGTTTATAATGAAAGATAAAATTAAAAAAGAAAAATAATTCCAAATAGAGTTAGATATGCAAGAACAGTTGAACAAATCTGTAGGTAAATGCAAGCAAATATTACATGTACTAAATAAATAAATAAATAAATAAATAACTAGAATGTCTAATACACAGGCAAAAGACAGACTGCCCAAAACAATAATGAAACTATATGAGTTAGAAGAGAAAAAATTCTGGTCATAGACTATTTATATGATCTAGGACAGAATCAAATTTTAAGAATTTTAAGTTAAATATATGAAAAAATTCTCTTTTTTCTTTTTATAACACTAATACTGTCTTTTTTCAACTGAAGGGTTGGCCAACATTTATTGAACATATGTCTATGAATAAAGCTCAGGAATAGACATTAGTTACAAGTAGACTGAAAAAAATGCCTTGTCCAACTAGATCAAAGGTTATCACTTGAGACAGAAAATGGAAAAAGAAATGAGTAGATAATAAATTTTTAATTGTTATTCATTCACTCAGCTAACATAGAGGGGTGCTTGCACTGTGTGAGGAGATATGCTAAATGCCATAATACACATAAAAACAAATAATGACAGAACAAGGGCAACCATTGCTCAGGTCCTCCCCATTCTTCTGTGGTTAAAACCTCCTGTTCTTGATCCGGGATGACTGGGCTCTACTCTGTGGCCTTGGCCAAGTCACCTAACACCTCTAAGCCATAGCTTTGCCATTCACAATGTAGAGCTAAAAGCAGGACCTTCTTTAAAAAATGATTTTTCTTTTCTCAATTTGCTATGGGCCATGTGCACTCACAAAAGACAGAGAGACAAAGAGAAGGGGCAGGGACAGTCAGAAAGCACCCCCCAGAGGAAATGGCCATGAACAATCCTTTCTCCTCTCAGGATTTTGGGCATGCACATACGTGCAACCATGTTTTTCAAGCCAGTATGCCAGATGGGGTCTATCTGTCTTAACCTCCATGCCACCAGCTGACCCGGGACTTTTTATAAGATTGTAGTGGGGCTTCAATAAATGATGCATGCTAGTCTTTTAGTCAGTACCTGACACTGCTGACAAGCAGTCGATTGTCAGTGGCTGACCACTGCTCTCTGGCTCCACTTCATTCTGCTCATCTCACACATTCTTTCCTTCCTCTTCATACTTACTGCTACCAACCTGACTCAGGTTGTTATTTTACTGATCAAACAAAAAAATTTAATTGCCAGAGGGTGCATACACTCACTAGAGAGAGACAGAGGGAGAGAGAGAGGGAGAGGGAGAAAGCACCTCCCAGTGGGGCATCCTGCCAACAAACCCTTTGCCTCTGTTTCTCCATCCTGCTGAGATTTGGGACATGCATGCACATGTACTGATGTGTTTTCAAGCCAACTAGGCCAGCATTTGAGCCACAGTCAGCCACATGGGATCCAGCTGCCTTAACCACTAGGCTAAAAAACTGTTTTTGACTACCACATTATCCAAGCAGAATGATGGGCTTTTTTCCAGTAAAAACATGTCTCTGACAGCATGCCCATGTCTTCTAACTGGGTAAAGTTCAATTTAGCTCTCCTGATACAGCACACACACCTCTGCAAAGCCTTCCCTGGGTTTCCACGAGAAATAGCATTACTTCCTTTTGGGTTTCCACTGAATTTATGGCACTTACTACTTTTTTTTTCCCTTTACGCCATGCTTACACTAAACAAGAACTTTTTATATTCAAATAGTTTCTCAGTGAGGTGCATGTTAGGAATAATGACAGGACATATAAAAAATCTGAATATTTTCACCCAGAAAATAAACAATGCAAAAGACCTTTGGACATTACTTTGTAATTCTGACTGAAGAATAAATCACAGGATCTACTCCACAAAATCCTGAAAATGTTACAACACTGAATTGAATCACTGAAACATCTCTACATTGTGAAAACACAAGACAGAAACAGGAAATCAGAATCTGATAGCCAAGCCTCATATGTAACTCTTTAAGAATGAAAAGCAGATTGTGTAATGGTTTTCTTACTTTTCCTTCCTACTGCCCAGCTGACGAGCGGTATATTGATCCCCATAGTCAATTAAGACCAGTTGTCGAGAAAAGACATTCACTTTGTTGCCAATATATAAGTCTTCCAAGCGCAGGTCATCGTATTTGGTCCGCTTTAAAAAAGTGCGATGATTCTTTACATCGTGCTAGAACCAAAAACAATACAATTTTTTTTTTTAAAAAAAAGCTTATCAATAAGGAATGCTAATCTTATTAAAAAGTAGAAATAGTGCTTAATTCTTTGTTATCAAAGATAGGTTACATTCTGTTTCAAATCATACATTTTTTTAACTTCTATCTTCCCTAATCTAATCTAGTAATATTATAAAAGTTTCTTATTACAAACTGAATACTATGAAAACTCTGTATACAAAGATTTGTTTACTGTACAGTTACTACAACAAATTGTGCGCACAGATCTCAACACAAGTTGGTCATATGCCTGTATTTCTGATTTTTTGCACATATAAAATCCCAATATGAATCAGACCTTCGAGTCCCAGAAAATAAACAATGCAAAAGACCTTTGGACATTACTTTGTAATTCTGACTGAAGAATAAATCACAGGATCTACTCCACAAAATCCTGAAAATGTTACAACACTGAATTGAATCACTGAAACATCTCTACATTGTGAAAACACAAGACAGAAACAGGAAATCAGAATCTGATAGCCAAGCCTCATATGTAACTCTTTAAGAATGAAAAGCAGATTGTGTAATGGTTTTCTTACTTTTCCTTCCTACTGCCCAGCTGACGAGCGGTATATTGATCCCCATAGTCAATTAAGACCAGTTGTCGAGAAAAGACATTCACTTTGTTGCCAATATATAAGTCTTCCAAGCGCAGGTCATCGTATTTGGTCCGCTTTAAAAAAGTGCGATGATTCTTTACATCGTGCTAGAACCAAAAACAATACAATTTTTTTTTTTAAAAAAAAGCTTATCAATAAGGAATGCTAATCTTATTAAAAAGTAGAAATAGTGCTTAATTCTTTGTTATCAAAGATAGGTTACATTCTGTTTCAAATCATACATTTTTTTAACTTCTATCTTCCCTAATCTAATCTAGTAATATTATAAAAGTTTCTTATTACAAATCGAATACTATGAAAACTCTGTATACAAAGATTTGTTTACTGTACAGTTACTACAACAAATTGTGCGCACAGATCTCAACACAAGTTGGTCATATGCCTGTATTTCTGATTTTTTGCACATATAAAATCCCAATATGAATCAGACCTTCGAGTTAAAGGTGCTGCCAATGAAGAAGCACAAAGAAACTAACAGAACCCTCTCAACTCAGTCCTCTTTGGTCTGACATTTTGCAGAAATAACAGCTCTAGACCATGGCCACATATCTATGACTGCAATAATGTTTATCTAGAACCATTTATTTATTTATTTATTTATTTATTTATATTATTATTTACACATTTAATCACTATACATCATTTAGATTGTAAAGAGACTTTACCCAGCATGATATACACCTCAGTCCAGCCCAGTTGAGAATACCATACACATCCTCATCGACAAATAATAAACCATATCTGTGTCCCACAAATGTCTTACCTCTCAATTTTTTCCCCAAATTTCCTTTCCTACACTCATCTTCTCCCATACTCTTTCCTGGAGGAGTCCGACTCGGTAGGGCCCCAGGATCTGTTTTGAGCCTTTGACCTTATGAGCAATCTTAGGTCGAATCAGCACGTTGGCAAGGCCGCTGCTGTATGCCCCTGACCTATGAGCAAAAGCTTGGGTCCACTCAACATGTTTGGCAAGGCCACTTGTTGTATGCTCCAGAGACTGCAGTAGCCTTGCTGGGAAGCGACCCCCCCTCTGACTCTCTGATATACTACTATAAAAGAATTACATAGCTCTCTTATACATCCTGAGTATATGATAAAATTTCCCACAAGTCCCCTGACCGCTTCCCTTTGCTCTGACCACCTACTGTTAATTACAATGCTTCGCCCCAGCACAGTCACAATAGAGGGTGTGCTGAAGTCACATCTAGGCAGAAATCTTCTTGACCTTTGGAAAGCCCTTCAAGATACATTTAGCATAAGCTTAAAAATAACCCTTTAGGCCAAAACTGGCCCAGGACACCTCCAGCCTAGTTGCGGCTTTGCAATGAGTCCAATTAGTGATCTGCGCAGGAGGGTCAGGAAACCTGAGACAGACTCCCACCTGCCTGTCTTAAGCCAAAATTAACATATGTTAAGGCTAAATTAGTATAAGCCAAATTAGCATTAGTAACATATGTAGACTAAGTTAGTTTAAGGCTAGTTTTACATAAATACCCCTTGCTAAAGCTGCAGGCCAAAGTTAACTTACATTGGGCCAAATTAGCACATCCACCCTATGACAGGGACTTTAAGACATAGCACAAGAATTCACTGATTAACAGACAAAAAATTCAGCAAATAAATACAGGGACCCATGGGTTAATAGAGGAAGGACAGATCTGGCCACAACAGGATAAACAAACCTGAAGGTTCCAGGGGGAAGAGGAACTATCTTAACTGGGAGCTCTTATCTAAAGCAACAGGTAGTTTTTAACTACAAAGAGTTTCTCATCTATGTGCTGTTGACTATGAAAAATTGCTGATAAAACATCCTGTGTTGTCTCCTGAGCTACAAGATCATCTTGCTTTCCCATATGGACAATAGACTCATCCTCTTTTGTTGAAACATATAGATAGTCCATATATTAACTGTGTCTTTACTTAACAAGACAAGATTTCTATCTAGGCCTGTGTAACCAGCAATGCTGCTGCCCTGGTCCAGGACTGAAGTTACCAAGCTGGCCTGGGACTGAAGTTATCAAGCTTCCTGAAAGCCCCCTCTTCAAAAGACCCTTCCCAGTAATCACGATTTAAGAAGAAATTAAACAGACAAATGGACTTCCTCATCCTGAGAACTGTGAGTGATTTTACCTGATCTGACAAGACAAACAGCATGTTTTATAATTATTGTTTCCATGCTTTGTATTCCCTATTTTTTAAAGTAAAATTTTTACTTCCCATCACCCCCCTTACTTCCTAAACATCCCTCAATAAATATGTATGTTTTAATAGCCACGGGGCTACAGTCTGGAGCTAGCTCTGGCTGTGGCCGGCTGAGAACATGCTAAGAGGCATTGAAGTCTTAGTCTAATTTTTGTTTCTAATCATCTGCGTCGCCTTCCTCAGACGAGAGAACCCACCCCCGCCGAGGCTGGCCCCCGGCACTTTCCACTTTGTCTCTAGTGTCCGTAATAATTTTAAAAGCTTGTATGTTCTCCAATCTTTAAGTCTCTACCATAGAGTGCAGACAGTCGGTATATGTTAAGTGGAGACATACAATGTCTCTCTTTAGTAGACTGACTTGCTTTACTCAGCAACGAATCTTCCATATTCGTCCACTTTCTATCAAATTCCAGGGCCTTATTGTTTTTTTATGGCTGAGTATCTAGAGCCACTTATAAGTCATACTTAATCCAAAACAGGAATAACCCCACTTCAGTGTTATAACCAAGAAATATTCCTATTTTTGACATTAAATAGAAAGGCACAAATCTTGAATTCAAATTATGATATGCCAAAACATTCACATACATATGTAAATGTAGTTTAAAACCAACCACAGTCATTTTATGCATAATATTTGTGGTCCTTTAGACCACATATACGATGGTGCTACACGTTATAACAGGCTAGAGTATCGCCCAGGTGTGCATCTAGGTTTGTGTGAGGACACTCCATGATGTTCACATGACCATGAAATCATGTAAGCACACATTTCTCAGCTTCTATACCTGTCACTAAGGGACACATGACTGTATAGAGAAGGATTTTTTTCCCCCACTATTCCATCTTCATACCCTGTTGCCAACTTTCAAGCAAAGAAAGTCCCATTTACCATTTCAACAGATCCATCCCCTGGGTAAAATAAAAGCTCGTAACGTCGAAGAAGCGAAGCATTTGGATCATACCACTCTGCAATGAAAACGAATCTCTCACCATGATTCTGCAAAGAGAAAAGAATTTTAATATGAGCATGCTTGTATAAGTCATACGAATGAAAGCAACAATTACCAGATCTTTGCCACGAGATGTTTTTTGTTTTTGGTTTGTTTGTTTTGTTAACTTGCCGGAGAGCCAGAGATAGGAAAAGTGAGAAATCACCCTCTGGAAGCCACACTGAAGTCCTTTTTCCTCCATTCTCCCCCTGGGATTTTGTACACACACACGGGCATCCAGCAAGTTTCAAGCCACCAGATCCGGGACTCAAACCACAGTCAACCATGGAAGAGTCCAGCACATTAACCACTATGCCACCTGCTTGCCTTGCAACAAACAAATCTACAACTACTTATTACAGTGAATTAGTCTGTTTTTCAACAAAATACCACAGTTATCAAACACATACTCAGAAATATTTCCTTATAATTTCTCATTAAATTTCCTAAGACAATTTGGTATGAGCAGAGGGTGTAATGGTTATGTTACTGGACCACAGTTCAAGTCCCAGACCCAGCAGCTTAAAACATGAGCATGTGTGTGCATGTGTGCATTCTCCCAAGAAGAAAATGGAAGAGAAGGGATTATGGGTATTGCCATACCCCCTGGGGGCTGATTTCTTGCATTCTGTCTCTGTCTCTCTGGTGAGCACATGTGCCTATAGCAAAAATCTCTCAAATAAATAAATAAATAAATAACCTAAGATATCTTAAAGATGACATAGGAACTGCTCAACACTTTACAGCTGCCCTGTCATCCTGAGGGAGTCTATGAGAACACAAGCTCCTGATCTGACTAGGGTAGCAATTCCAATTTCTTCTAAAAGCAAATTTATGTATGGAAAGACCATCAATAAACTAAAGAAAGAACACGTCTGAGACGCTAGGTCAGAATTATGTAATCTCTTAAATTGCCTAAATTTAGGAATCCAGCAGTACTATTGGGTTGTCAGAAAATCATGATGCATTTTTGCATAGAAGAACAAAAACATACATCATGACTTTTCCAAAGACTCAAGAGAATCTTGTCATTAAAATTATAGTCAACATCCTTCCTCTCAATTGTAATTTCATAGGATGGTATCTTTTTATAGAAACAGTAGGAGAATATGTTAGTGGAGGACCTCTGAGAAACGGAAGCCACAACACCAAGACAGGATTGAACATACAAGGATTTCTGAAGGAAAATTCCTGTATGGGAAGATGGAGAGCCAGTGAGGAAAGCTGGCAAAGCATGATGCCACTCCGCCCCAAGTGGGGCAGAGAGGTAGAGGGGTAGGAGAGACCACCCTGGGTGCTGTTCAGGCCCACAGGACTGCTCGAGTCAGGCAGCCTACTGGAGGGACAGCTGACTCCCAGGAATGGCCAATCTAGGGCCCCTGTACCCTTGGACACTGAATGAGAGGAGCCCTTGGATAGTGGGTCCCAGGCACAAAAGCGAATGTAGATTCCCGAGCTCAACAGTGAGAGTGCTGGGTCATTCCGCTTCCTGTCTCAGGGGCCTACAAGGTACATCCTTAGGGCCAGCACAGAGAATAGAATGAAAAAGCAAGCCAAAGATTGGTCCTTGTTCCCTGCTATGAAGCAGGATTTCTCATTATATTTATTAACAAAAATAGCCCAGTCCCAAGGTCTTTCATTATAAATGAGCAAGCAATACATAAAGAAGAGAATCGAAGAGTTTGTAGCTAATTCTGGATTTGCCATCCAATACTCTGGTTAGGGTAAATGGATGAATTCTTTTTTTTCTTAATGCCATGATTTTATAATCACTGTACATCATTTACCTTGTATGGCAAATTTACCCAACATGAAATACGCCTCAGACCAGTCCAGTTGAGAATACTATACACATCATCATCAATGGTAATAAACCATTTCTGTGTCCCACAGATGTCTTACCTATTTTTCTCCCCAATTTCCTTCCTTACATTATTCCCCTCTCCCACACTGTCTCCAGTGTCCACAGCTATAGATCTTCTTAATAATCGACTTACAAATTCTAATGTTAGAAGTTGTATACCCAGTTATGTTCATGATTAATGTAGATGAGTAGTTTTCAAGACACTATTGTATTTTTCCCACAATCACCCACACACACAAACACACAAACACACAAATAAACAATGCTTATTAGTCAAGGGAAAGTAAATGCAAAATAAGAGACATACTAGGACATCCATAAAAGTCTTTTGTCATAATGTTTTTTTTTTCATAATCATTCTAACAACATAACTAACTCCTTTTTCATATTCATTCTAACAACATAACTCTTGACTTTAGGTCTCACTGTGCACTCTAGTATGGTATTCTTCTGAATAATAAATTACAAGGTTAGTAGATTATTAAATTCTTTACTATCCATAAAAAGCTAACAAGTATGTTATTGAAATGCTGCCTTCATTAAAATAAATAAGTAAAATTATGAAATGAAAGAAACCGTCATACAGCTAACTAAAGCAAATGAAAAACCAATTAAACTTGGCACTTCTGTTACCCACTTAGCCTAATCACCTAACTTTATTGTTTTTAACTTTGCCAGAGGGCACATACACTTGCCAGAGAGAGAAACAGGCAGAGAAAGGAAGCACCCCCATGAGGATTGGCCACACTCCAATTCCTTTTCCTCCATGTCTCCCTCCTGTTGGGATTTTGGGCATATATGCACAGGCACCTGAGGTATTTTTCAAGCTGCCAAGTTCAGGGATCAAACCACACAGTAGGCCATGTGGGAGCCAGCTGCTTTAACCACCACATCACTGGCTGGCCTCCACCACACTTATTTAATTACACACTTTTTTTGTTTGTTTGTTTTTGTTTGTTTTGTTTTTTGTTTTACTAATTCACTTTACAGCATCACAACACACAAATGAATTTTCCATCCAAAATACACTGTGCATTCTCAATCAAGCACATCCACATACATGTTCTCAGCAAATAATTTTCCAATTCTTACGTCCTGCATACCTTGCCCTTTGTCTTGCCATCCCTGATTCCCCATCCCCCACCCTCTGCTATGTCCCATCTTCCTTCCCCATTGTCCCTGGCATCCATGGTTGCCCTCCATACCTTCCTCCCCCCCCATTCAATTGTTCTGCCAATGAACTTAATTAGTCTAAATAAATCCATTGGCTAGCACAGCTGACACAAACCTACACATGTATCCAAGTCTGACCCTAGGCATAAACCCGGGTGAGTAGAATGAACATACTATAAAGTAGTACCCAGCTGTGCCCATACAGCTCGCTGCAGTCATCAATGTGCATTTCTTTTTTCCTCCTGTAACTTTTTTTTTTTTTTTAATATTACCTAACACTCATTCCCTGAGCATCATCACAACATA